TTTCGAGGAACGTTGAAAAGTTCATGAGCCAATTTTGGGGTGAAATCTATTCGTGTGATTCTTTTTTTTCAACTTGCACTCGTAAAAACGTCTTCGAATTTTCTTCGAGACCCAGAATTCTGAAGAAGAACGTTTTGCAGAGTTTCGAGAGGAATGCAATATTTTCTCAAACCTTGCAAACTTTTAGCTGACAGAGCAATGAAAAAATTTCCATCATTTCTTTCTCATGGTCAAAAAATTGTTTCTTTCCAAATTATGGACAAAATTGAATATTTTTTTTTGTTTTTTTTTTTCAATTTTCCTACGCTGTAAATGCAACTCCATTTTGAGTATGAAGTAATGCTTACCATGCCAAGAGTAAAGGGGCCACACATATAAGTGATCCAAGGCCAATAATAAAAGGATCTTGATAACATGACAAAATTAATCTTTAAGGAAAGAAATCGTAATGCGAATTATTCAATTACTCCAAATAGTAATTTCGTTTGCAAAAATGAGTAATTATATCTACTGCATTCGAGAGCGTATTCACAAAAGACGCGCATTCAAGAAACGTATTTGCATGTTTTACACATTTGCGCATTTTATTGAGCTTCGGCGTTTTATTTTGGGCGAAAGATTCAAATTTATTATTGTTACAATTTTCTTTTTCTGGTATATTTTGATACACCACATAAGTACCTGTACACGCCAGTCGACGAAAACTATTGTTGGTCGTCTTGATTACAGCGGGTTATTTTCCAAGTCGTTGTAGCATTACGTAACATCATCCATAGCCAAGCTTTTTACACTTTTTGTTGGATGAATCGAAAGAAAGAAACAGCGCCATTATCTGCGTCACAATTATTCAACAAACAGGCTTTCCTTTCGCTTATTGGATATGTATACGCGGTGAGTTGCGTAATACCTCGTTGATGCGCTCTCCTCCAACAATACTCCTATCCCTCGAGTACTTCCGCGAGATTATGCGCTCTGGAATTTTCAGGTTTTCGCTAAACCAACCCTGTACACTTTACCCGCTTAACTTTACCATTTTTTCCAACTTTTACGTTATAACTTACTTGCGCTTCCCCCTCGCCATTTTTTGCCAATCATTTCACGAACATTTACTTATTATCATATTTACTTTTGGTGATTACACCGACCCACTGATGCAAATGACAAGTTATCACAATACATTATCATTATCATTCGAATATTTGCTTTTTTATATATACAACATTTTTTGTTACCTGTCAAAATTAGAAAAACCAAACATTATCTAAATCCCGAGACGGCCATTGATTTACGAACAATCGATGCTCACCACAGAGCAAAATATACCGTCAGATTTTGATGCCATCAGATGACGATAAAATTAAACGAGAGATCGTTCAAGCGTGGCCAGAGCATGGGAATCCATTGAATTCATTCTAAACGCTTTACTTACTTGATCTCATGTATTAAGTATAAGCTCAAGTGTACCTATATTTACGGGCACATAAGCAATGTCTTGCTACCGGGAAAACCCCCCAACAACGAGCGAGATAATTTATAGAAGTACAAAACATTATACACATTATATATTCTCCAAAGAGTCCGCAGAGGGTTATACACATCAGCTGTGAGCGTGCAGGCCTATGGGTAACCGAGTCATCACGGAAGTGGGTCACTTGGAGAGCCCGAAAAACGAGGCCACGACGCGTCAATGGCTCTTTTTTTTCCTCAATTTTTTTGTTTTCGATTGGCTTCCCCCGACGGAGACGCCTATATACGCTCGCGTGCGACTAATTTCGAGCCCCAACAATAACACGCAACAATGCCCATACGTTCGCGCGTGATTGGCTTCGCCGTTTTTACAATTATTAAATAAATGAAAAAAAATAAATAAATAACAACAACATGGAATATCCTTCAGCGGTGTGTGCTTCCTCATGCAACGACGCAACTTTCATCCTCTTCTTTTTATTTGTATGATAAATGAACAGCGGATAAGGTCAAGGAAAACTGGCTCGGATCGCTTTTTACTGGCATTGTTTTATCTTTTTTTCTTTTTCTCCCTATTTTTTGTTTTGGTTTGATGCAAAAAAAAAAAAAAAAAAAAATGTACGTACTCTGCAGATAACTTAAAATTTTTATTAATACATTTTGGATAAACATACATCAATTTTGTACAAAATGTTTGAGGTAAAACAAAATTAAAGTGATTGTTCGCGTAATAAAATCAAAGGAAAAATCCCCTCGTAATTTATATAAATAAATAAATAATATAACAAATTGATTAATAAATACATTCATATGAAAAAAAAAATCGTCGAGATTCATGTTCCAAATGATAAATTAAAAGTTATAACGGATAGAGGTACTTTTTGATCAAGTACAAGGACGGCTCCTTGTTGACGCTTTCCTTGTGCGTACACGCGTGAAATACTGAACACAATTTAAATTTACAAACACAACGTGCATTATTGGCAATGTCATTACACTGGCGACAGCGCATTTCCCTCCTATTTTATTGTTTTCTTATTATTGTTATTTACTACTTTCGACAGAGAACAGTTACTGCATCGATGCGTATTTCTTCTTCTACAGTAAATTTATACATTTATTATAATTAGAGCCTATTAGAAATGAAATATCGATTAACGACGTAGAGAATAAATAAGAGAAGGCGCGTAATTTCACCGAGGGGCTTTGGGAAATGCTTTTGTGCTCTCGGTTGAGACTCTTGTTGATTTTGAGATTCATAAATTTGGCTTTCGTTTCGTCATGGCAATATTACTGAGAATTTGAATATCTTCTGTCGTCAGGGGCTCTGCAACAGAGGACACTTTTTTACTGTACATAAACTGACTTGTACGTGTATAAATATTTCATTATTTGCTATGAAAATACAATCATAAAGATGTTTTTTTACATTTTTTTCAGTGAAGAAAGCGTGAAACGAATTTTTTTTCATGGGACAATTATATTTAATATTATAATGGAAATTAACAATTTCCTTTGTGTGCAATAAAATATTACAATAAGCGTTTTTTAATTTGTACATAAATAATGCAATAATATACCTGGTTTTATAAAAATTTTAATTTTTCCCACTGTTTGAGGGGGATACATTTTATTTTCATAGCAAACAATACAGATACATCGATCAATCTGTACTTACTTGTTACAAGAACTACTTTGGGTCGCGCTATTACTGGATCCTTGTAAAGAATGATCCTTATTTTTCTTATGATCTGAAGTTGTATTTTCATTTATTAAATATATTTTTTTGTTTTTTTTTTTCAATTTTCCTACGCTGTAAATGCAACTCCATTTTGAGTATGAAGTAATGCTTACCATGCCAAGAGTAAAGGGGCCACACATATAAGTGATCCAAGGCCAATAATAAAAGGATCTTGATAACATGACAAAATTAATCTTTAAGGAAAAAANTGTGTGTGTGTGTGTGTGTGTGTGTGTGTGTGTGTGTGTGTGTGTAAAAATGCGACTTTTTTAAAAAGACCGCTTGAGAACAATATCATTTAGTTTTTTTAAGAGATTCAAATCAAATGCAAAATTTTTGTAAAAACGTCACCCATGTGTACACTTACACGCAAGCACTTAAAATTGTAAGTCATAAAATAATTACTGACCCAATGAAATATTTAAAAAGTATATTGTTCAGCAAACTGATTTCCGAAAATGGTAGTTTTCCTACGAGTTTGAAAAGTCTCTGTTTGCGGCCCGAGGCGAAGGCGAGGGACGTAACGAGGTTCGTAAAGGAGACTTTTCGAACGAGTTCCGGAAAACTGCTTTTTCGCCCGAGGAAGTACCAGCCTCCCAAAACCACCCGAGGGCGGAAAAATCTTTTTTTTTCCAGTTTTCGATTTTCGGAATATTGCGTGCGTCAAAACAGTCTTGTTACGCTGTATTTTTGTGGCTTTGATGTTCACGTAAGGAAAGTCAATTGATTAATTATTACTTTCTTATATTAGACTACGTCTAATGCGCCACGTATGTCACACGTAATTCACGGGAACAGTAAAAACCTGTGCGCTTTTTTACTGCGGATTATGAAACTATGTTATCAGACAATTAATTTGGTCTTGAAGAGAAAAATTCTGTTGACTATTTTCCTTTTTCCTTAAATATTCAAGTATCCGGAGTAAGTAATTAAAATTTTTGTGATTTGTTGAAGGGTAACATAAGGGAAAGAAAAAACCTCCAAACACCCCAAAAAAAATAAAAAAATAAAATAAACAAGCGACGTAGATAATGAAATGCAAAATTGTTACTCTTGATTTTACACTTTATCAAATAAAGGCAAGAGAATTTGCAAGCTTTGACACCACTCGAGCCACCCGATTATCTCCGGACTCACGCACGCAAGATCGATCTCCGATTCACCTTTGATCGGAATTCATGAGTACGGAGATAAATGTTTTGCGCTAAGCCTATCGGTTGACAAGTACGTTCCCCAAACAAACTAGGCAGGATTGTTGAACTCTCCAAAATCCATCGATCGCTTGATCAAACAATCGGAAGATTGTCTCGCTAAATTTCTTGCTAAATTTAAGGTGTTGTTATTCGTAAACGCATAAGGATGATTTCGTACTTCAATGTAATCTTTATTTGGCTTAGACCCTTTTGTACCATCTGATTGTTCAATTATATATCATTCAATGATTCAAAATGACTGATGATGTGTTTCTACTATCGAACTATACACTGTGGTAAACAAATTTTCAAATGATTGGTTGTAACCGAGAAACAAGTATCAAAATGTCAAACCAGCAGCAGTATCTTGAAAGTTCACACGCATCAAAGTTGAATTTTTTTTTTTTAATAAAGTTATTGGTAATTTCTTGTAAAATTCCCTCTCATTAAATGTAATCAACCAGAAGGTTAACGCTAAACTAATTAAAAACCTTTGAGACACAAAATTATTAGAAATAAACGTTTTGTTACCATGCAATGAAAAAAATCACGTTGTTGCTACTTATTTATTCATCGTAAAATAATTCGATTATTAATAGGAACTATAAAGATAGTCATGTGTGTAATTAACTCAATAGACGCGATATCGGGTTTCATTCATATAACCCATACCTGCACCGTAACGCTCATAATTTATGTAAAAAAAGAAACATTTGGATTAGCCGCTACGTCATACCTATTTTTAGCTTTGACGTTAAATGTTAATAAAACAATCACCGATAAAACTGCTGTTACGAGTTGGTCAGTGGTCATCAAACTTAAAATAAATCAATTTTGTCGCTTGTTTATAAATGAATCTCGAGCGGTATTTCACATTATTTTGATAATGTAAGTAATGACAAAGAAAATGTTAACGGCTTACTGTGCGTTTGCTGGTAAGACGGCGGTACCCAACTAAAATTGCTTGAACCCGAGGCACACTCTGGCAGTGTCGCGTTGCTTGCTGATGGGGTAGCTTCTTCAACAATCGATCTGTAAACTCCGTTCAGAAGTAATGATGATTTAACATTTTGAGGACAAGCGCTAGACTTTGCGAAAATTCTGAAAATTTTCGGTATTTCGTTTCACACGCGTGAATTCATTTATTTTATAAAAGAATAGTAAAAGAAGGGGTTTTCAAAGCCATTAATTTGTTCAAATATATTTTTTATAAGTAATTAATTATTGTCTCATTTGAAGCATAAAGGATCAAAGTTTGCCAAAATTACGAAATTGATGCAGAATTTTGATAAGTCATCAGATCTGTATAATATTTCTAGTCGATAGGACTCATTAAAATGTAAGTTTTTTTGCACACAACATTTTTGCTTACAGTATCGGTCTGAAACTCTAAATGGTAAGCATCAGCCACTCGAAAATAACCGTAAAAGTATATAATATCACCTAAACTTTCTTCATTTGAAATTCACGGACAAAATTTCATGTACACAACTCATTAACAAAAACGAGTTGAATTGAACTACATAGTCAATAAAATCATAAAAATTATTTAAATATAGTTAAAATATTTACCTTAAATTGGCTATGGAAGGTGTAGTCGAGTCGTTTGGTGAAAGTTCCATGCGTTCTAGCAATCGTTCAAACTCGATAATCTTGTCATTTTCTAAATTAGAATTTGTATTCATCGATGATGCAGGAGTCGATAGACGTTTGAGAGGCAAATGTTTTAGGCCACCTTTCTTACTTTCCAGAGATACTAAAATTTTACCGTATACTTTCTATCACTGAATGAGAACTAAGACTACAATTAGGAGTTCATTCAAAATTAAGATTTACTCACAATTTGGCACTGCCAAGTCTGAAATTTGAGTTGCATTTACATCCCTGCTACGACTATTGAGATCAATGCCTGAGAGGTTGGAACTCACTTGATTTTTATCACCATCAATCGAATTCGATCGAGTAGTCGGTTCAGACTTTGTTACTTGGGTATTGAAAGACATAAGTGTGGACAAATCTTGATATCTGAAATCTGGCTGCTCATCTAATACAACTCGATTGTTGGGATCCAGTTGCATTTGATACAGATGCGAATAATATGACGATCGGCGATTGTGCCGATTTTGTTCACGGGCAGAAGAATCGTGATCTGGTTGCTTATTAAAATAATCCAACGACGTTCTCGAGCCCAGTGGCTCTGGGCAGTGGAGTGCACTTGCATTATAGTTTGGTAAACCAGAGAGAGCATTTCTTGAATCCTGTATTTCATCAGTTCGTTGCTTCAAGCAAGTCCAAGCTGAATTTCTATCTTGCATTTCAAACAGATGAAGCAACATGATTTCATCGTCAAGCCCATCGTTTCCTCTCGATCTGCATGATAATAGTTTATTGCAAAAACTTTATTCATCAATGACGCATCAAATAATATTAATAATAATAATAAGAATAATAGAATAATTACCTATTATTACTTTCAATAGGTATTTCCTGATGATTTTTGAATTTAAGTTTTTGCTTGTTTTGGAACCATGGAGCTAAAGACTCTGCGACTTCCACATCATTTTCACCTTAAGTAAAACACAAAGTATTCTAGAATACTTTAAAAATAAATTCGACGATTATTGAAAACTTTTGGCTAATTAAAAATTGTTTTCGAATTACTTTTCGTTAGATAAAGTATCATTTTTTAATAATTTTTTAACATTTGTCGAGATAATTTTTTTTTTGTTTAAAGCTTTATCAAATTAAAAAGCTTTAAAAAATTTTATCAATCGCTGTATGAGGATTCGACAACTAAGGCAGTAACAAAAACACATTCCATGCACAAAAAAATGGTAAAAAACTTTAAAATCAAATCAAATGAAGAATAAAGATCAATAACAAAATTAAATTTTTCTAAATTGCAGCTATTAGAGAAGACCTTACCTGACATAGTTTCGTTGTCCACATCATTCTCGTCATTCGAATTTTCATCCAGCAGATTCAAATTGGTTTCTGCATGCTCACCCTCATCAATGAACACTTCATGTTCGCTCAATTCCTTAAAAAATCATTGATGTTTGATCAAGGGCTGTACGGTATTAAATTTCATCTCAGAGTGACCACATGATAAATAACATTTTACCCCGCTTTCACTGCTACTACAGCTTGGTAAAGCATCCAATGGTTGTGAATGCGTAGAAGTGGGAGACAAGTTGGACCGTTGTGGTGAATGATTTTCCAAGTCACGATCATTCTCCAAAGAATCTTGATTGAAATTCCTTATGGCCATTTGACAGGCTGCAGAACTAGAGTTATTTGCACTGGAGTTATGTTGCTTGACACTAGTTTTCGACGAAACAGAAGATAAAATGGAGTTGGATCCAACTGGTTGAACGTTTGCCAACTCAGTCGTTTCCAATGTTTTCCAAACTCCATTGGGAATTGACGAATTCACAGTGGATAAAGTGTTCCTACAAAGACGAGTATATATGACTTTTTTTAAAGCTATCTGTGAAATCGTTTGTCTAGTCATTCAAGTTTATGACAAATAAACTAATAGAGTACACCTCGTGTTCTTATGATAATCATCATATTTACCTGCTTGGACTTGAAGTAGCTCCAGGAAAAATATTTAGAGAGCAAGGTAAGGACAAGTTCTGAGGTTCTCCTAAACTTGGATTAGGACGCTGCTGTTGATTAGTAAAAGAATTAGAAACTTCAAGAGTAGGACTGCATGCTGTTGCTCCAGCATTGCGCGAAATTTCTAAACTCAGTCTCTGCAAAAAACGCGAGATCATCATTTTTTTTGTACATGGTTTTTCAAAGGTATAATGTTTATTTAAACATACTTCTTTTAATTCATTTATTTGGGCAGCGTATTGATTTTGAACAGTTAATAATTGACTTATATACCATTGCTGATCACGACAGCGTTGATAAAATGTTGGCGGTCGAACTTGAAAACTGAAAGAATAAATATTGAATAGAATATTCTTTGTTTCTCTTCATACTTGATAAATCATAAATATTTACCGCAAGATAAGAGTATCTAATTCAGTATTTAAGTAACCCTCGGGTGCAAGTAAATCCAGCCTGAAAAATCTATTGTATCCCCAACATTCTCCAATTTCAAAATCAGACGCGAATTCTCTGACAATATTTTTACTTGTATCACGGGATCCCTGATGAATCATTTCAACTCTATATTCGTATCTAACAACAACAATTAAAATTGTAATTATTGCATAAAATCAATATAAAAATTAATGCCAAACATACTTGGAAGTTTCAGGCAACCCTGCACTTAGCTCTAAAAATACTGATAAGTAGTTCCCTCGAACAACTCCATTTCCATCTGGATAAACTTTTAATCTCCAGCACAAACCGTTAACGTGCAACGGGGCAGAATAAACTGGATCTGCTTTGAGTTGCAGTTGAGAAAAATTCTGCATGGCAAAGGTAGCACTATCATAACCGGGTACGATTTCACTGTCGTAATTAAATGTAACATAATGAGTTAAAATTTGAAGCGTAAAATTTTTCTGTACACTTTGTGATTGTTACCTAGGAAAATCAGCTGGAACTGAAGCCGTTACGAAACTAGTCATGGGTTTCTTACGGACTTGATAAATAATATGAGACAATTCAGCACTACGAGTAATGAGCTCAGATCTTGAACAAGTATGTAACTGTTGTTCTACGTCTTGGAGTAATGCTTCTAGCTGCTCAGTTTCCAGTGTCAGAGAATTTTTTTGACTCATCAATGTTAGCAGTTTTGCTTTTAATTGAGAATCTAATCTAGCAATCATGAGTTCAACAGCATTTCTGATTTCCCGAACTCTTTCATCTTTAGCTGATCGAACAGATTCTACGTTGCGGTCCTACAACAATTTATTTCATTAGTCGCGTTATTAAAATTAATGCCAAACGTATATCATCAATACAGTAAAATACAATACTTACAACTTCTTGAACAAGAGTTATTACTTCTAGAAGTCTACGTTTTAACTGTCCTATTTCAGATTTTATTTGAGTAACATGAGTCTTGTAAACCTCTTCCAGTGGCTTGAAAGTGTGTTGGGAATGAGTGCCAACCCACAGTGCACATTGATGACAAATGCATCGTCTACAGGTCCAACAGTAAACCGATAACTTTTCATGGTGAATAGTACATCTAGAATATAGTACAGAAATGAGAATCTTATGATGTTGTACTGCCACGTTAAATCCTAAAATTTTAATGAATTACTTGTCATTAGAATCATCAGTTGCCAAATTAGAAATTGTAACGGCTTGAAGGGTGTCTAGCTGTTGGGTGACCTCCTCGACCCAACGACAATTGACTAATTCATGTAGATGAAGCGCAGCTCGGCAGTGAGGACATTGTGACCTTTGCTCGGTTAACCAGCGTCTTATGCATAGGTAACAACACAGTTTACTACAATGAGGACACAAGTGTGCATCTCTCAATTTTTCCATGCAAATGAAGCATCGAAACACCTCTGCCAACGTCTGCTAAAACAATAAATGTGTGAACCAACTAGTTTCAAAAATTATTTATACAGTAGTATGTATTTTTTTCTTTAAATCCTATGTATGAATACATACTTAAAAGAAAAAAAGGACATTTTGAAAAATCCAAAGAAAATCTACATAACACTTTTCTTACAGGTAATAAAAACGTGATGCGAAATCATAGGGACCAAAGATAAATTTTAAATCGCACCTCGACGCTGTGGTCATCCGGAGCTTTGGCCATTGGCTCTCGAGTCTCCCGACTCGTCATTTTTGCGGAAAAATTTACGAAATGAAACGCAGCAACCCTTTCAAGTCTTCTCCTTTTAAAGGATCGTAAAAGTTACGTACGTTGCTCAGAGACAATAACAGACTTGATGGCGGCAGCGTTCGCACTGTTCTTCCCGTCGTCCACGCATTTTTTTTTCCACAGACCACAGACCCAATGCTGTCTACAAAAAATATACATACATACATTTTATTCATATATCACATCCATCAGAGTATTTATGGGTTAATGGGCAGGGACAAAAAAATCTAGAAAATATTTACCTGGTGAATTAAGCCTTGGGTCCACTCGATTTGTGGTGGTTGTCCGCAAAAAGGGCTATGGCTTATTCCATGAATGAATAAAGATTAAGTATCTGGTGGCATCAATGCATGGGTATTCCCAGAAGATGAGAAAGTAATAACTGGTTCTGTAACGATGACATGGGATAATTTAATAATGACTTGCTTTGGATGAATTGGATTCAAGTTGGATAGCAAGACACTCGCAAATTGTTTTGGAGTGCTTTTCATACAATTGTACGGCCTGTATATAATGTAAATATAAGAAAATGTGTAAAGAACTTACTTAATTTATTTATTTGGCTTGATACATTATTATACTTACTGATGGAGGGTGGTCTGGAATGTTTGGAGTTTACAGAGAGAGCGGCGACAACGACGATTCGCAAACGGATGGAATGGTCCAAATCCTGGTCTCCAAACTGCTCCAAATAATTTGTTGATAGATACTTACTCCCCTCTCCAAACTATTCTGGTGTATATTTTAATAAGGTTGGTAACTTGAATTCCAGCTAAATTTGTGTTTGCACTTAGGTTTGCAGCACGGTTTTGGCGCGTAGTGACATAAAATTCAAATTGTTTCATCGCATTTCGAAATCCACATGAATCTTTTGGTTGCAAATCATACTGATATACATAAATTAAATTATTTTTTAATGATCTTGTCAACCGAAATATTGCACTCGAATATCCAGCATCCAATAAATCCAGAAAATTGTTTGTAACCTCACTTTGGACGCTAGTGTAGAGAGTAGCTTTCAACTTTGCAATGTTATTATTTAAATAATTTGCGGTTGTTTTAGTGGTTAATTAGATTGATGCCCCCTTTTTTCCCTCATATACCTGTGTGTATTTTGTTTTCTGCTCTCTGTTTTTTTTTTCATATTAGCTAGCTAAATCAGTTTACAATCAGCGCCATCTCGCGTTGCTGACTTCGAGTTAAGAAATACCCTATACCCTTCAAACTCTCCGCCAGGCAGCACTAGTAGTGCACCAATTGCACCATGGTGTCCATGGTAGAACTGCAGAAATTAATGCACTATCCACGTCACTAGGAACTAAAAAAATTTCAGAATTTTCACTACTTACCCTAGTGACACTGCAGGTTCACTTCCTAGAAATTCAAAGGAACATCTACTAGAACTAGTGTCCGCAGCGGAGGGTCTATTGGAGCCGATTTATTAGACCCTACACTCACTTTTTTGAAATTCACAAGGACTAGTGTCCGCAGCGGAGGGTCTATTGGAGCCGATATGTTAGACCCTCCAGTCCCTTCTTTGGAATTCACGAGGAAAATGCACCAGGACTAGTTTCCGTAGCGGAGGGTCTATTGGAGCCGATTTGTTAGACCCTACACTCACTTTTTTAAAATTCACTACGAAAATGCATGAGGACTAGTTTCCGTAGCAGAGGGTCTATTGGAGCCGATTTATTAGACCCTACACTCACTTTCTATATGAATTCACTAGTGTCTGCAGCAGAGGGTCTATTGGAGCCGATTTGTTAGACCTCAACTTACTTACTAATTCACTGCGAAAATGTACTAGGTCTAGTGTCCATTGCGGAGGGTCTACATTAAAATCGCCCTACACTCTCATTGTGATTTTCGGAATCTATCTAACTAGGGGAAATCATTTTGAAAAAAAAACCCTAGATTATTGTATTGCCGACCAAGGGTTTTCCCCAGAAATAATTGATAGTATGTCGGTATCGATGTAAAAAAACACGGGACCTTTAGTACCGACGCTCAACTCACTTACCCATCGAAGATATCAGTAAAATGTTGATCGTCGGTACGTCAGGTACCTATGTGTTCAGTGTGATCGGTGCTCTATCTTACCGACGGTCGACACTCAGTAAGTAAGTTGACTGTCGGCACAAAAAGGCGCGTCTATTAATCAATACCGACAATCCCCATAGACCCTCCGCTGCAGACACTAGTCCGAGTACATTTTCATAGTGAATTTCAAAGTAAGCGAAGGGTCTAATAAATCGGCTCCAATAGACCCCCCGCTGCGGACACTAGTGAATCTATAGAAAGAGAGCGGAGGGTCTAACAGATCGGCTCCAATAGACCCTCCGCTGCGGACACTAGTGAATCTATAGAAAGAGAGCGGAGGGTCTAACAGATCGGCTCCAATAGACCCTCCGCTACGGACACTAGTCCTAGTGAATTTCTACTGAGTGTAGGGTCTAATAAATCGGCTCCAATAGACCCTCCGCTACGGACACTAAAATTTTCGCAGTAAATTTATAAAAAGCCTAGTTTCACTAGGCTAGTGAACTTTTTGAAATTTTTCGAGTTCCTAGGGACACTAGGTTAGTGCATTATCTGCGTGCATGTTAAAAATATATATTTTTGAAGTTCTACCACTAGCCCTGTCTGGCGGAGAATTTTCTGAGGGTGAGATTACATGGAGTCTGGCAGTCTGCAGACTGGCAATCGCGCTAAGTTTAAAATATGTTTCAATATTAATATTTAAAACCTGTTACGTAAGCAAAGAAATAATTGTCGTAATACATTTGCATTTCTGTATTAACTAATATTTACGAACATCAGTGACCCTACTGACCGACTGTGCGATGTTAACATAAATCTATAAAAAAAGTTATAAAATAATATTTGACACGTTTTATTGTAAATGAAATTGATTGTAACTAAGCCTTTATTCTGTTATGACAATAATTACAATTTTTTCTTTATTTTACTAAATTATTCTGAGATGTTATAATTTAAACATAATTTAAACTTAGCGCGATTCTGCCAGTCTGCAGACTGCCAGACTCCATGTAATCTCACCCTGAGAGTGTGAGTTTTTAAAAATTTTAAAGTTACTTTTTAACTCGAAATCAGCAACGCGAGATGGCGCTGATTGTAAATTGAAATTTTTTTTAAGTCACAGCACACTGATTTGCAGACTTGTTCTTAGCTCTTTGCGTGTCTGTCTACACACGTGTACGCTTTAGCTGTTAGGTTAGCAGTACTAATTAGTTTTTTTTACATATAATATAGTGTTTGCCTTTTTAATTACTTCCATCTGTATTCTTAAAAAAATTTGTCTCCATTGTTTATAATCGATTATTCCAGGTCAGAAGAGCGAAGATGCAGATTTTCGTAAAAACCCTCACGGGTAAAACGATCACCCTTGAGGTTGAGGCTTCTGATACCATCGAAAATGTCAAAGCCAAGATCCAGGACAAAGAAGGCATTCCACCCGACCAGCAGAGGTTGATCTTCGCTGGCAAACAGCTCGAGGATGGCCGCACTCTTTCCGATTACAATATCCAAAAAGGTAATCTCATGTTTTATCATAACCTATTACCTGTAACGAAGCTGGTCTATCGATAATTAACATTTGCATTTATTTTACTTATAAGCAACGTGATTGTCAACCTTGAGTAAATTTTCCGTTCCAAATGTCTTCAAGCGAGTATATTGTTTCATGTATATATTTTTACGGTTCGCATGATACTACATTATTTTGCAGAGTCCACACTCCACCTTGTGCTCCGTCTCAGGGGTGGTGTTATTGAGCCCACTCTCAGAATCTTGGCACAAAAGTACAATTGCGACAAAATGATCTGCCGCAAGTGCTATGCTCGCCTTCATCCACGTGCAACGAATTGCAGAAAGAAGAAGTGCGGACACACAAATAACATTCGCCCCAAGAAGAAGCTGAAGTAGATTATTATTTGGATTGTGCGGATCTATTTTACATCCTTGTACCAGATAAACTCTGGTGTTTTGTATTATCGTCATGTTTGATTATAATAAACCACAGATTTACTTAAACCATACATATTATTATGTTTCATTTTTCATGTCTAATTATGCTGGAGGCTTTTGATCTACATATTTTTTTGAACATATTGGTCTTTGCAATATTTGGTCATCAAATATTTAAATAACTGGTAGTGGTACTAATTTCTTGATTTTTACTGGACACTGATACTGTCGTTATTTTAAGTAAGTGTAACTACTGTACTAATTTGTTAGTTCCGTACTAAAACTATCATTAAAACAACGTATAAGTACATTGTTTCATACGAAATCAAGTAAAATAAATAACTTTCATTTAAAAAATTTTGAGACAGATTTGTGAAGCTGTATCACAATCATAAATCATTAATATTTGCTCGAATAAGTTTATCAGTAAAGAGTATTCTTTTTCTGTATACCTACATATTAAAACAGAAAGTTTTACAAATATCCAAGAACAAACTAGTTTCAAAAATGACTTATTTAAAATCTTTACAGTCATATTAAATGGTATATGCACATGTCTTTAAGATTTCTTTGTTATATAATTTTCAATGTAGAAAACATGCTCTCATTAAAATGATGTAATTAATTTAGTGTTGTTTATGAAAATTAATCTAATTATTTACATCCATTCTATACCTAACAAAAGAAAAGGACTAGGTTGGCTGACGTCTAAAAATTGGTTTTGATACCGAAATGACCTGATGACAGTCAGTGACTGATGAGTTGATGACTAGCTTACTCACACACTCGCAGTCTCACACACACATATAATCATATATTCATGTACATGTGCTCAAGTTTCATTTCATAATTTTTTCAAAAGTGCACATGTGCTGCATATTGTGCTCTGCTGTACCGCAGGATAGTGGATTAAGCGCGTTTGTAGGTTAGTGCGCGACATGTATTAAAGTAAAAAATGTCACTTTGATTTGTCTTCGTAGAGAAAACACACGTTTTTTTCTTGAAATATAAGCGAATTTTAAATCTTGTAATTAATTGGTCTTTTTAGTTAAATTAATTTTAAAATGGGAAGGAAAGCCAAGTACGACGACAAACCGGTGACGAAAACCTCGAGGCGCAAAGAAAAATTAAAAAAACAGCCCGAAATACTTGTTCCAGGAGACCCTGAAGGTCAGTTTAGTGAAAATGTTAATTATGAATCACCTTAATATCCGTAAATTGCATTTGAACGGTATTTTCAGATCAAAAACAGGGTAAATTAAGCCACAGACAGGCCAAGAGGGCAAAGAAAAGGTTGCTTAAAAAAGAACAGAAGAAAAGTACTCTGCAAAAAAAGGAGAACCGTAAAGTAAAGGGAGACGTTGAAGTGCGTCGTATTGAAAACGAAAACGTGGTGCAAGTTGTGGTGAATAAAAAAAAAAGGAAATCCAATGTTGCCGACGGCGAGCTGCAACCAGAGAAGAAAAAGTTGAAGGACTCTGTGCAGCCACAAACTAACAAACTAAAGCTCTTCGAAGAAGATCAATCAGCTCCAAAAAATGGAAAAAAGAAAAATAAGTTGAAATCTGCGGTTCATGACAGCGTAATTTTTTTTTATCCTAGTCTTACTCAATAAATCAAAAATGTACTATTTGACTTATTTTTCATGTACTTACTTACAGAAAGTAAAAGTAAAGTCCATTAAGGTTCTAGCTAACTCAGAAAAATTAAATGAAAAATCACTGAAAACTGGTAAAACTACTCAAATGAACGGAAACAAGCATCAAGGTTTTCAAAAGCTGAATAAACAACAAGCAAAAAAAAAGAACGGTCTGTCCAAAGCTACAAGTAAAAAAAATAAGAAAGTTTTAAATAAATTGTCGACAGGTTCTGATGATGATGCAAGTGAAGATGAAGAAGAGCAAGAAGAAACAGATGTAAGTATGAAAAAATTTTAAAATGTGCACTATTTCGATTGTAAATTGCACAGCCTAAGAAAAAGATAGATTAATTAAAAATATTCACCAATACAGGGAGAATCTGCGGATGAAGAAGAAAGCGAAAGAAGTAGCAGAAAGGATGAAGACGAAAATGATTGTGATGGCAGTGATAATAGTGGAGAAGAAGAAGATGTGTATAATGACAGTGATGATAGTGATGCAATCTTAAAAGACGATTTTGATGACAGTGAGGACAGTAATAGTGACGAGGAAGATGACGATCAAGACAATGATCTACTGCCTATAGAGAAAGCTAACAAGAGACTGAAAAAAAAACAAGAACAGGAGAAGTGAGTGAAATTTCTTTGTTATGAAATATTATCACTGTTTTCTTATTATAACGATCATCAATTTATAAAAACACTTGTTTTAGAAAATTAGAAAAAGCTGAAATGAGCGAGAGCATGTCTCACCAAGAACGATTTGAATTTCCCACTCAAGAAGAGCTTGAAAATCCTGTGAGCCTAAAAGATGTGCAAGAGCGAATACAAGATGTTCTTAGAGTATTATCAGACTTTAAAAAGTTACGTCAACCAGACAGGTATGAGAAAGAAAAAATAAAATAATCATGTAGTGCTGAAAATTTCAATGATTTTTTTAAAACTTTGTCCCTTGTAGATCTCGTACCGAGTATGTGGATTTGCTTAAAAAAGATTTATGTACATACTTTAGTTACAACGAGTTTTTAATGAACAAATTGATGCAAATGTTTCCGTTGAGCGAATTACTAGAATATTTAGAAGCCAGTGAAGTACAAAGGCCAATGACCATTCGCACAAACACTTTGAAAACTCGTCGCGGCGATTTAATGACAGCCTTGAGAAACAGAGGTGTAAACTTGGATTCGCTAGGAAAGTGGACAAACATTGGAATAGTCGTTTACTCCTCGCAAGTACCCATGGGAGCCACACCTGAATACTTGGCCGGGCATTACATCTTACAAGGAGCTTCCAGTCTTCTTCCTGTAATGGCACTTGATCCCAAGCTAAATGAAACGATTCTTGATATGTGTGCCGCACCGGGTGGTAAATCTTCGCACATCGCTGCGCTCATGAGAAATACTGGCAAGCTTTTTTCCAACGATGTAAATAAGGAGAGGATTAAAGCTGTAGTTGGCAACTTCCACAGATTGGGCATTAATAACAGCGTCATTACTACTTATGATGGCAGAAAAATACCCAAGGTGAGAGTTATTTCCGTTATTTTTTAAATAATAAAGATGATACAATTTAGGGATTAAAAGTTGTAAATTTACTTGATGGAATGTTTTTATCAAAACCTTGTCTTGCAAATTAATCATTGATTTCGTTTTTACAGGTGTACAAAGGATTTGACAGAGTACTTCTAGACGCTCCTTGTACAGGTACTGGAGTAGTTGCAAAAGATCCTAGCGTTAAAACAAACAAGGACGAAATAGATGTCCAAAGGTGCTGTACTTTGCAACGAGAATTGTTATTAGCTGCAATTGATAGCGTTAATGCGCGTTCCAGTACTGGAGGTGTCGTTGTGTACTCGACTTGTTCCATACTTCCAGAGGAAAACGAGTGGATTGTTGATTACGCACTAAAAAAACGTGATGTCAAATTGGTCGACACGGAATTGAAATTCGGAGCTGATGGTTTTACGAATTACAGAGAGCACAGATTCCATCCCTCATTAAAGTTGACTAAACGATTTTATCCTCACACACACAACATGGATGGCTTCTATGTAGCTAAATTTAAAAAGTTTTCAAATATTAAACCTAAGCAGGAACAGATTGTTGACGACGATGAAGAAGAAAAGTCGGAGTAAAATTGTTGGATTGATAATGCATTTCGTTTATACTGTATAAATCATAATGTATTTTTATAAAATAGTTTTCAACACTTTTCTTCACAGTGATGTATAAATAATTATGTACAATTTTCATAACATATGTTATATCTTATAGATAATTTAAATTTATGTGTATAATTAGCTAATGACTATGAAATATATGCATAAAACTTTTTACAAACAAAACTCTTCAACATAGGATTCATTAACTGCATCATCAAGCAGCCATTAACACTACAATGTTTGTTATTTATTAAAATTAACTCAATGAAAATAGAAAAGGCGTATTGTTGGTTGAGGAATGACGATCTAAAAATCTGTTGTTGTTTTACAATAGAGAGCTTTGTTTCTCTACTGCCTCGATTTAGTGGAAAAAAATGTTTCTCAGTTGTTGCTCACACAATCTTTTAACTTCGTCTGCAAAGCAAAAAAAAATTCCACACAGTTATTTATTCATAAAATGTTATTTTTGTTAACTTGATAATTACCATCAATTTCAATGATACTAGCGTTTTTTTGTTGCAAAATAACGAAGAATTCTCGTAGGTTGGATAGCTTCGCTACAATCCAATAATCACTCATAGTCTTTATAACGATTTCACCAGCTTCTTTTAATCTGAAAATATGATTATGAGTTGTAGAAAAAAAATCATCTATTGGATTAATAGTTTCTTATTCACCTGCTGGTATCACTGTATATATCAGTTATGATCCTCAAAACTTCTGGAGTAGTTACAGCGTTTGAAAAACGTTTATTGTCACCATGTATTGTGCTCTTGTAAGCCAAATTTAATTTGTTAAAGTACAGATACTTGGCACTAGAATCTGTAGAAGACACCTGTTTGGTGCATTGTTCTGCTATTGCATTTACTAGTGGTGTCAATCGAACACCGAGAAAATTGTCCAAACTTAAATAAGGCGTGTTTGTGTCTAAAAAGACATTTTTAATTTTATCAACGATCATTATTGTTAAGGCAAAATAAGGGCATGAGAATACATACTGTCAACAAATAAACATACTGTGGCACTCAGTGCACGGTAAACTATTAAATATAGACTTGTAGGTTTTGTTGAATAATTTATGAATACTTGAGGCAATTTTTTGAAATCATTACTACTTGAGGGACCAGTAACGAATCTATATGGGGATCAAAAATTATTGCATCGGTATATATAGTTGGAAAATAGGTGCGTTATATAACTTTATTGGAAAACGTTCTTACTTTCCATAATGAAAAGAAGTAAATGGCGATGATGCGTTTCGAGGTACAGAGCCACCATCTGATTCTTTTTCTAAATGTGCCGGTAATAGTGTACTGATTAAGTAGTTATAAACAACTTGCATATCTTCAGGTTCCAAACCACTCCTGTGGAAACAAAGAAAGAAAAAAAAAAAGAAAAGATTTTATGGTGATGCAAAGCCATAAAAATGATAGACAAAAATAAAAATAAAATCCAAGTGAAAAATTATTACCATACTACTTGATCATTGTATAGAAATGCAGTGTATTTTACTTGAGGATAAGTTGCTTCTACAAGATTCATAAAACTCTGAACACGTAGAAATGTAAGTTTATCCAAAGGTAAAAACTGCAAGCCTTGAAAGATATCCAAAATATCACTGTTGCTTAATTTAATTGATAACAGATACTGCAAGTAAAAACGTTTTTGTACAGTTTACAGAAAAAAATCACAATAAAAATCAAAACACCTTGAAAATGAGTCGAAAACTCACTCGCGAATAAAAATGATCTAATTTATGCTTGAGTAGAGTTACAGATCCAGCATCAGGTTCATTAAGAATAGTTTCAAATGAACCCATAAACAGACGAAAAATTGTGTACATTTGTTTTAGAATTGCTTGACAAACGGCATTTGACACCTGATCATTTTGATACTCTGGGTATTCATTGCCATCTTTTTCTTTGGTCACATATGGAACTCCAACAATCTTCAAGGATTTCAATATTTAATTAAAATTTTTAGCCAAGAAAATATTTGGTACTATTGTAAGAAACAAAAAATTCACACCATAACAAACCAAAAATTGAGTTCTGGCTGGTAATAAATTTGACGAGTCTTATGAGTGTGACAATAATCACACGTCTGTCCTGGATTAAATGACCTAGTAATAACAATTTTACATTGGTCAAGCAACTAGAAACGAAATAATGAAAATTTAAATAGCATACTCAGTAAATTTTATTATTGCTTCGCTGAGACCAATATTTTTTATTTGACTGTCGATGTCTGTTTTTGATGGATAATAATACAAGATTTTGTTTTTCTCCTAGGACAAAAAAAATTTGAGTATTTGAGTCTGAAAAGTAACAATTCAATCAATGTCTCACCTCTCCTTCTCTTTTTGCGTAAGTGCTGTTAAAAATGTAAAAATGTTCTAATGTAACTTCAGATTTCGATGACATACTTGAAATATGTATCACAAATTATTTTCAAGTTCAATTTCACGAGTTGATTAATATATATTTATTTCACCGTATTTGACAGTGAATTATAAATTGATTTGTAAATTGCTAATAACAAAAGTCACATACTTAGTAATATTTTAATTAAAAAAATCCCACTAACTATAATAATGACAGCCCAAACCTTAAGACAACCCATCTAACCTGACATAAATGTGTGTACCTAACTTGAGCTGCTTGTTGCTCTCTAAAAAAAAAAAAAAAAAAAATTACCATGAATTTTTGAATTATTAGTAAATTCCGTATTTAACAATAATAACTAAATCCAAGTAAAAATGGCTACTGGCAATGCTTACTGGCAAAAAAGTCTTTGTTTTTCGTGCTAATATCTTTACTAAAAAATTTTTTATTTTTTTCATTAAGTGAAGCAATTAAAATACACTCAAAAAAAATATTTTACGGCATATCATGCTATAGTTCTAAGAATCAATAAATATAATTCGTCGATGATATTAATAAAGCATTTGATTTTTTTACATAAGTTCAAAAAATACATAACACTATAATTAGTTTCTAGGTGTTTGATGAAAAAAAAAAAAAAATTTGAAATAGTTTTCCTCAAAAACAAATTACCGTTCTGTTAAAAATAACTTTTTGTACAATTTAAAATCATCGTCAAATTAGTCTCAAATTCTAATTATTTTATTAATTTTAGTCTAGAACCATTTTGGCGTATTCGTTAAACAATAATCCGGTAGCTTTGAAATTTTACAAGTATTAAAAATTAAATAAGTATTACCACTTAATAGTATGTAGTTTTTATTAATGATAATCACGTTACAAACATTAACTCAGAATATTCATTTCACAATTTTTACGCAAGTGTGTGTCTGTATGATATACTTAAATATGGATATTTTTTCAATTTAATTGAAATTTGTAATTTTGATTTGGTGGCTTACAAGTTTCATAAAAAAATTTGAAACCTAAGTTGCAATAAACAAACAAATGCTAAACTAAGAGTAAAAATATTTAGCCAGAATTATCGAAACAAGAATAAAAATTCTTAATAAAAGCAGCATTTTCACCAATCGTTATTTAAAATTCATTTATTTATTATTAATCGTTTGATAACTCAATTGTTTGTTCAATATTTTGATATCATCTTATTTGAAAGCGTGATGTTTAGAATTAGTGTGTATAATTGCTGCAATGTTTTTATTTTTTTATTTTGCATACAAATCAATACATGTATATTTTGTATGATTGACTTAAATTCTATACATGCGTAATGTAGTCAATAAACCAATACATGAACGTTTTTTAAAGAAAAGCAGTATGATTTTTTATTAACGGAAAATGCATTGATTCAAAACACAGAAAACTGGAGCTCTTTCTTGAAGGTGAGCACTTTGATACCAAATAATGGGGAAGGATTTGTTTCATGTGTGATTGCACGAAAAGGATATAATTTTATTATTGATATAGTGCTTTTTTTAGTTGCTACAGTTTTTGTTGCTGTTCTTCTTGTTAATAAACGAGAGGTCTTGTACACGAAGAAATAACGAGAGAACATAATATTATATCATCAATGACGAAATAATGGTTTCATGCAATGCTGTTGAAATTAAATAAACGTACAACGTTATAATAGGTATTATATACGTATGTTCATTGTTCTTTAACAATTTTGATAACGTAGTATTCTCAAAACTATTTACTTACAAATGAGACTATAAAAATTTACGAGGTTTAACAAATACAACGTATTTAAAAAGATGTAGTAACATAAAATATTATCTCCGAGAGTTTCGTAAATTCCTCACGATGAGAAAAATTTTGATCATGAGCGAATAATAGATTTTAATACAGACAAAGTCAGGCAGCGTTTAACTAATGCTTCTTGGCAGCGTTGCCTTTAAAATAGTAACGTTTTTATCATTTTGTACAATTTTTTATAATAGTTTTTCACAAGTATCAGCTGCTCGGAAAACCTGCCTGGCTTTCCCGAAACTTAAACACCTTATATTTATGGCTTATGATATGCATGAATATCCCAAATCATTAAATATTTACTAAGATTTTATATTATCTAATGAAATAATATTCAATGTTACTATTTTTTCTTTTTACGTAAGTTGCAACTCCACTGGAATAAGAAAAGCGTCTCAAAAAAGATTTTTGCGTTTTGCTGAGACACGAGAAAACGTTCGTTCCTCAAGTAAAAGTCATAATTATTTGTCCGTGAAAATTGTTCTCAAAAAAAAAAAAAAAAAAAAACACGAGTTCTAATAATGTCTAACGCTTAGAAAGTTTAAAATGTATAGGGTAAGTTTTCGTTTAGTGATACAAGCACACACACATAATCATTCGACAAATGATAACACAGGACACATTTAGACAATGGGAATGAAGTCAGCACCTCAAAATACATAAGAAATGCATTGTTGCTGAAAGGGACCCTTCCACTTTTTTTTTTTTTGTGGTCCTGTGTAATATGTAAAACAGAAGAAAATTTGCCTACTATCTATAATACGTGTTTCACGGACAAAGAACTTGTACAAAGCCAACTGATATCGATATGGAACTGTGTGGCAGTTGAAACGTTTCGACATTAAAAAATCATTAACAAGACCGAAGCTACCACGTACCTACTCGGTCTAATTGAATCGCAACTCGTGTCCCAACTAGCACCTATATAAGTAATGCCCAGTGTCAACTTTGGTGTACAATGTTGTTCGTGACTATGGCTGGGGCTAGCAGTAGTTCTTATTTTTGTGACGTAGGTGGTAAAACTTGCCAAACAACCAATGCTATCGAGGTGCACCAGCATATTATTCCCACTTGTGGTGAGTCGTACTGTTGTACGGTACGTTACAAGGCTTCCTCGGATAAGAGGACTCACGCGGAGGTGAAGCCTTGCAACTGGAAATCGTGTTCGAAAAGTTGTATCCGAAAATGCCATCCAACAGATGTGCACGAGCAGGCACACACTAGCGATAAACTGTGCTCGACAACCTTTACCAAAAAATCCAATCTTACGGAGCACAATAAGCAACTCCACGCGTATGACAAGCCGTACAAGTGCCGGCTATGTTTGAAGAGTTTCACCCGAAAACACCATCTAGCTAATCACGAACGCATCCACACCGGTGTGAAGCCGTACAAGTGCCAATTGTGTTTCAAAAGTTTTGCTGAAAAAAAAAATCTCACGGTGCACGAGCGAATCCACACGGGCGATAAGCCCTACGGTTGTCAATTGTGTTCAAAACGATTCGTTGATAAATCCAATCTGACGAGGCACGAACGGGTCCACGCGGGTGATAGGCTCTACGGTTGTCAATTGTGTTCAAAACGATTCGTTGATAAATCCAATCTGANGAAAAATATCACCGTTACAGGAATATTAAATAAAACTTAATACGTTATTTAACATAATAAAATTAGTTTTCAACATACTCAAACAAAATTTGAAGACATTGTATATGTGATTGAAACACTTTTAAGCATAAACAATGTATCACTTGGAGAGAAATCGTTAAGAAAACTGTAGGAATGTTATTTGTCTAAAAAAAAAGTACATGACTTTAAATGCCAATGAAAATTAATCTTTAAAAAATATTTTTTACAACAGATATTCACAACCAATAAGGTGATGTGGTATTTGTGTCATTGTCACTTGTTAAGACGCACAGATATTTGTTACAGTACAAGTAAACGAATATCAAAATACTTCTCAAGACGTAATAGTTATCAAGAAAGAAAAAAAAAATGAAAAAACATTGTAAAGCTTCCTTGCATTTGACATTCATCTCTTTACGTGTTTGTTAAAAAAAAATTATTCTACCTCGGGCATTTATTTCGACTTTGGACGTTTGCTGCATCTTTGGTAGAAAAAATAGCATCCACATCTGGTGCGCATCCGTCCAGGGTGATCATGCTTCATAAACGAGAAGATGCGCACCAGGGACGAAATCTATACTATTAGCGCATTAAATAATTAAAAATTATTCAACAAAGTATAAGTAATGCCTCATATTTAGCACCGTCTTTGACTACCTTAATCTTAAAAGTAAATGATTGGAATACAATATTTCTAAGAAATCAGAACCAGCAGCAATTCCTATTAATTAGGAATCAGAATTGAAAGGAAGATTAAGCAAAGACATAGAGATATCTATATACATTTAGTGGTGTACAGTACCGTAACTTGGTTTGACGCTGATTTGTATGGTTTTGAACACTTTCATCTATCTCTTACCAGTACTTGGTAAAACATTATTGAAGCCCTTTTTTTACTATTGCTGCTGAAGTTGCTGCAATAATGGACATACTTCGACTAGAGGCGTGCCTAAAATTTCCTGACACACTTGATTTATGTCAGGTTCCATCATCAACGACGATATCTGATCTTCAGTTAGCATTTCGACACTAAAAAATTGATTTGATTAAGAATATAGCAATTATAATATAAAGCCAAATCACGTTATGAAAATATTTTTAAGAAAATAGTTTTTTACAATTTTTTTGGTATTTACCTTGCCAAGCTTTCACTATCGGAAGTTTCGTCCTCTGCGTTTAAGTAATTTATTGTCCTTTCCAGAGGACTTGGGACTTTTTTGCCTTTCAGTTCAGGCTTTTCTGTTTTCTCAGTTGTAGCCCGCTCTTTTTCGTCGTCTAGTATTCTTGAGTCGCTTGAGCGTCTTTCAGTTAAATTTGATATATTAAGCATCATCATGCCTTGGTTAAGCAATTCCTTAACTCTTTCACCTGTCCCAGAATTCCATAGAATATCAAGCGACTGTCTCCTACTGGAATTCACTAGAATGAAAATTTTATATGTAATGTATGATAAAGGAATAAAAAAATATTATAAATATTTTAAAATATAATTATTTACTGGAACTGTCTGTACTGGTTTCACCAGCTATCGATTTATTAAGTATTAAAATATAAATTCATCATGTATAATAAATAATTCACCTCTGAATTAGCTTTAAGAAGGAAGTTAGTATATTATTGTATACTAGTATAGTATATTATAGATACACGTTCAGATATATATGATACTTCTTTATCATTAATTATTGTACTCTATGTATCCAGTAAAAAATAAATAAAAAACAAAAAAGGCAGGTGAGTTACTTTTAGTATCTACTTTAAGTCTAGATGTGTTTGAGTTCTCTGTAAAAACCAATGTGATTCGGAATTCTGCGCAAAGAAAAATATTTTCTGTATGATGCTTTTGGAATGAAAAATATTAAATTCAAGAGCACTATATTTTCATAAGAAAAAATAATTGAAATAATAATTTAATTAATTAATCCTTAATATATTAAAAATAACCGGTGCAATGATTTTAAAATATTTATTATAACGAAATTTATATGTAACTTTATTATAGATGTAGGTTTCATTAATGAAAGACATTTGTATATTATCATTAATGTTTTAATAAAAGGTAATTGCGTGTTATATACATGATACAAATACATATACAGTATAATACATCCACATTAACTTTCCTACTTTTGAAATCGTATGCATTTGTAATTTAGAGACGTTGGATCTTACTAAATTTTTATTCACACGATTGCATAGAGGCGACAATGGTTTTCATGTCAATGATTTCAAAGAATTTTTATTTAATAAATAAAATTTTCAAGTTTCACAATGAATTTTAACCATTTTTACTTTTCAACCATTTATTCTTTAGCAATATATGCAAAGAAAACTAAACGATTATTTTTCGTTTCATATCAACTTTCCGAATTTGTTGGCTAGACATTTAATTTTAAGGCAATAACAACTCTACTAGTATTTGTACGATAATTTTCTTTACTTGAACCGAAAATTATCCATACGTGTGTTAGTGCTAATGCACATTTATAATAAAATAACATGCTCATCAATTTAAAACTATGTAATGATATATATTACACATTGTACAACAAAAACTTTTTATTGGCAACTAGATTTCGTAGTTTAGAGTTAAAAGTATTATTAACTAACAGTTTTTTATGACTTTATTCTTTCTTTAGCCCTTAAATTTACTTGTAAAAAATTTATATTTTCTGAAGCACTTTGTACCTCTTCAACTAATTCGATCTATAATACACATTGCCAGCATACATTAGCACGACGGTAGGATGATATATTTAAATAAAGTGATGATCTTTGATTTGTACAACCCATCTCTCCTTTAATTCGTAAAATTACGAAAATTTAGCGAATAATCGAAAATATCATTATAACAATTCAAGATTTGATCACAGGAATTACTCTGCTGGATGAGTTCGTAAAATTGTACCAAACTATCATTACAGTGGATTGGATGATTTGCTACATAATACTGATGACTAATAGTTGCTCTAATTTCAAATGAAATATCGTAAGAGTAGTTACTTTTATTACATTTGTATTGCTTTTTTTTGATATTATTAATTTATATTACTTTATAACTTATAATTTATTAAAAGAAAAAAAAAAAAAAATTTAAAGNTGAAGACATTGTATATGTGATTGAAACACTTTTAAGCATAAACAATGTATCACTTGGAGAGAAATCGTTAAGAAAACTGTAGGAATGTTATTTGTCTAAAAAAAAAGTACATGACTTTAAATGCCAATGAAAATTAATCTTTAAAAAATATTTTTTACAACAGATATTCACAACCAATAAGGTGATGTGGTATTTGTGTCATTGTCACTTGTTAAGACGCACAGATATTTGTTACAGTACAAGTAAACGAATATCAAAATACTTCTCAAGACGTAATAGTTATCAAGAAAGAAAAAAAAAATGAAAAAACATTGTAAAGCTTCCTTGCATTTGACATTCATCTCTTTACGTGTTTGTTAAAAAAAAATTATTCTACCTCGGGCATTTATTTCGACTTTGGACGTTTGCTGCATCTTTGGTAGAAAAAATAGCATCCACATCTGGTGCGCATCCGTCCAGGGTGATCATGCTTCATAAACGAGAAGATGCGCACCAGGGACGAAATCTATACTATTAGCGCATTAAATAATTAAAAATTATTCAACAAAGTATAAGTAATGCCTCATATTTAGCACCGTCTTTGACTACCTTAATCTTAAAAGTAAATGATTGGAATACAATATTTCTAAGAAATCAGAACCAGCAGCAATTCCTATTAATTAGGAATCAGAATTGAAAGGAAGATTAAGCAAAGACATAGAGATATCTATATACATTTAGTGGTGTACAGTACCGTAACTTGGTTTGACGCTGATTTGTATGGTTTTGAACACTTTCATCTATCTCTTACCAGTACTTGGTAAAACATTATTGAAGCCCTTTTTTTACTATTGCTGCTGAAGTTGCTGCAATAATGGACATACTTCGACTAGAGGCGTGCCTAAAATTTCCTGACACACTTGATTTATGTCAGGTTCCATCATCAACGACGATATCTGATCTTCAGTTAGCATTTCGACACTAAAAAATTGATTTGATTAAGAATATAGCAATTATAATATAAAGCCAAATCACGTTATGAAAATATTTTTAAGAAAATAGTTTTTTACAATTTTTTTGGTATTTACCTTGCCAAGCTTTCACTATCGGAAGTTTCGTCCTCTGCGTTTAAGTAATTTATTGTCCTTTCCAGAGGACTTGGGACTTTTTTGCCTTTCAGTTCAGGCTTTTCTGTTTTCTCAGTTGTAGCCCGCTCTTTTTCGTCGTCTAGTATTCTTGAGTCGCTTGAGCGTCTTTCAGTTAAATTTGATATATTAAGCATCATCATGCCTTGGTTAAGCAATTCCTTAACTCTTTCACCTGTCCCAGAATTCCATAGAATATCAAGCGACTGTCTCCTACTGGAATTCACTAGAATGAAAATTTTATATGTAATGTATGATAAAGGAATAAAAAAATATTATAAATATTTTAAAATATAATTATTTACTGGAACTGTCTGTACTGGTTTCACCAGCTATCGAGTTACGTGATATCCACGTAGCCAAACAACCATCTAATTTGCCTTTCTTCTTAAACGTTGGACTACTCGTGAATTGAGCTCTTTTCTCTTCACTCAGACTCGTATCATTTCTTTCAATCATAGCCGGCAGAGACTTTTGTGATACTAACTTTTTACTTCTGACCTTTTCATTTGATTTGTTTGTAACATGCTTCGACTCTGGACTTACGTCAGTTCCTAGAGGCTTATATGGTATCTGGTCATCCCCGTCCGAGTCTACATCATTATCATAGTAGACCTCATCAGGAGAATTATTTAGATTAATTTCAGTCCATTCTTCTCCGTTTTGTAGTCCGTTACTTTCTTTTTCCTCTGTGGGTAACTTAATTTTTACTTTTTTTTCCGTGGGTGATAGTGTTATATCGGGAAAATTAGATGTAGAAGCATTAGTTTGATTTGGACTAGTGGCGATATGTTTGGTTGTAGTTGTAGCAATACTTTGAAGCCGATCTCGTTTTATGTATCGTCTAGGCTCAGTCAACGACATATTTATTGTACTTTTACCAAGATATTCAGAGTTATTTTCCACCTGTAAATAATTTTATTTCAAACAATAGAAGATAAAAATTAATTTTTTATAAGTATAAAATTCCATCCATACTTTTGGCAAGGCAGAGCTGGGATCACACTGAATTCTTTCGGGAAGGCGTAAGTATTCGTCACTTGTGTAGTCAGTACTATCTGGGGATTCAGTAGTGCTAGATTCCGTTGAATTATTTTTAGATGAATTGGAAGAAGGATTTTTCGTATTCCCTACTTGTTTATTAAAATGATTTGTACTATCACATTGCCTAGTCTGTAAAAAAGTTTTAGTTGTCATGGTTAACACCATACACAAACAGTTCAATGAATCAACTTACTCTATGGATTTCATCACTTATCCTTTCTAAATTTCTCAAAGCTTCTGCATACGTCATTTTGGCATCTGCAACTGACTTTTCAAGTGCACTTACTTTTAACTTTTGTTCTTCCAATACTTGATTGAAATGTGCTTTCATTTCATAATAAGGCCTATCAGAAAAGTTAATAATAACTATTTATCTGCATTTAGGGTTAAACAAATAATGTACGGTATGTACAATATTTTAATTTTAAATGTACTATATACCAAGCAATTGAGAAGGAAAGAAAAAATTACACCTTTTTACAATATTTCGTAGTTTAGAGTTAAAAGTATTATTAACTAACAGTTTTTTATGACTTTATTCTTTCTTTAGCCCTTAAATTTACTTGTAAAAAATTTATATTTTCTGAAGCACTTTGTACCTCTTCAACTAATTCGATCTATAATACACATTGCCAGCATACATTAGCACGACGGTAGGATGATATATTTAAATAAAGTGATGATCTTTGATTTGTACAACCCATCTCTCCTTTAATTCGTAAAATTACGAAAATTTAGCGAATAATCGAAAATATCATTATAACAATTCAAGATTTGATCACAGGAATTACTCTGCTGGATGAGTTCGTAAAATTGTACCAAACTATCATTACAGTGGATTGGATGATTTGCTACATAATACTGATGACTAATAGTTGCTCTAATTTCAAATGAAATATCGTAAGAGTAGTTACTTTTATTACATTTGTATTGCTTTTTTTTGATATTATTAATTATCCACACCGGTGTGAAGCCGTACAAGTGCCAATTGTGTTTCAAAAGTTTTGCTGAAAAAAAAAATCTCACGGTGCACGAGCGAATCCACACGGGCGATAAGCCCTACGGTTGTCAATTGTGTTCAAAACGATTCGTTGATAAATCCAATCTGACGAGNATAGTATTAATAATGATACAAAAACGATAAATCAGTGCATAAAAGTGAAAAATAAAAAAATCTCTATTCTACTTACAACAAGAGCAAGTTGTGTCTGTAGGCAATACTGTTTATCAGAAGCAAACTGCGGCGTGCACCCATACTGCCAACATGAAGACAATCAAAGAAACATGAATTTTCCCGCTGAGTACGAAAATATAAAGTAATGATGTTTTTATGTAATAAATAATAAAATATTGAGTAAAAGTAAATCAATCCAGTGTACTAAAGTGATGGAAAAAAGTAACAGAAAGAAAATGAGAAATCATTCACACTTAAAATCAACCAACAAAGTAACAAAATTAATATCATTCCAATTTCTAAATACACCAATAAAAACGGATAATAAAAGCATTAAAAAAACTTCATGCACTTTAATTCAAGCAAAACTATTACATTGGAGCCTTTTTTTCAAAGTAGTACCTGGACTTAGCTATGGCACGCTTAAGTTCTCGTTGTAAGTTTTGAACTTGATGTTCGGCGTTATGATACAAGAAAGTTGTCCGCCTGTGTTCTACTTCACAAATAGCTCTCTCATGCTCTGACTCATTAACCCTGGAGGTAGCATGATTCAGCATTTCCTGTAAAATTTTATACTTTTTATCATTACATTTAATCTGCATATAAATGTACTCTTGACCTTTGATAAAAAAAAGTTACTATGAAAAATTTTTCATTTAACAAATAGTGGTTTTATCACTTTTATTTTTAAGATTGAATATCATTTACCTGCCAAGCATGGTCAAAACATCGGCCCTCAGTTTTTAATCCTTCTTCTGCTAGATACACCATTTCTTTTGCAGCTGCATGTTGACTATTTGCTCTTTCGAATCTAATGGCAGCTTTTTGGGTTTCTGTGAGAGCCTAAATGGCAAAAATATTTTTCGTGTATATCTCATGTTCACGATTTTACATGCTTAAACAAAAAAAAATTCTTACCTCTTTTGCTTTAAACCTAGCATCGTAATAAGGTCGAGATTTTTCTATACAAGTTCCTAGTTTTTTCGCCAAAGTGTTTATTTTATAAGTCGATTCACATAGCAACTCCCTAAATGTTGCTCTGGCATCCTGTGACAAAACATTTTATTTTTGGTAAAAAACTTATATTTTTTGATGTTCTAAATCTTAACAGATGTCTAAATTCTTAATAACAGTTAAAGACTCAACTGTTGCGATTTTCAGGACTTACATCTAAATCAACTTCAAGTTTGTTGATGTCATCTGTTGCAGTATTTAGCCTCTCAAGTTCAATCTGCAAAAAAATAAGCTTGCTTTGGTATAAAGAACCCTTTGGCAAAGCTTGCGATAACGTCTCATACATAATAACGGAAAGGAAAAATATATATAAAACATTAAAATAAAAAATCCTCATTAACTTTAACTTTCAGTTCCCTCATTGCCCTTAAAGAAATATTAAAAATATTGAAAAATTAAGTGTTATTGGCAAGAAAAAAGCTCTTGGAAAAGGAATTTTAGGGCTTTGTTGTGAAACAACATTTATAGAGATAAAATATAACATTCTAAAATAACATCACGACATAGAGCCGCAAGTAAAAGTAGGCCTCCTACACGTCGAATTACATTGAAAAATATATGTAGGCCAGCTAGGTCACAAGCATCAGTCGTTGACGACAACTATTAAATTGATGACCCTTGTAACTGCTTTTAAAGACGTATACTATAGAAGCAAGAGCGAAAGTCATAAAATAAGGGTAAAAGCGAGGATCGAACATCATATGGACTGATTCGGAAACATCAAAGGGCAGGGAGGAACAAGGGCCTATGGGAGTACCGAAATGACAGAAGGGTAAAAGCTTCACTGAGGGTGGCTATGCTTAATTAAGCTCGAAAGAAACGCGGAAGGGAGTGAGAAGGGGGTTACGGATGACAGTCCGCACACTCGGGGGCGGGGGAGGGGGGCATGCACAGAGGAGAGTTTAGGTTATACCTGGACCCGGGGATCGACGGCATCGTCGGTGTTGGCTTCGAGCTGTCCGTTGCTCATCCTACACTCGATGTTACAGCCACCACGAGTAGTCTTTGGAGTCGTTGTTGGTGTATATATATATATGACACTAGCAAGTTACTGCAGGAGCCCTGGGAACTCGGCTGCGGCTCCGAGTATAACCAGGACTACAGATGTTGATTGCTGGATGAAGGTTATAATTATTGGTCCTTTTTTCTTGCGGACTGCTGGCATAAGTATATGTATTCCAGCGAGAAGAGAGGAGTTCTTTCTTTATAATGCTCGGCGAACTCTCTTTTACCTTTCACCTGTCACTGTCAGTCACTCAAGTTACACGTGTATGCGTGCGCTCGTATATTTGTGTGTGCGTATATACTTATGTGCATTGCATGCGCGCGTGTTTTGAGAGAAATAAAGAGCGCATCGTCTGCTTCAAAGCTCTTAAAAGCTCCTCGTCGTCGTCGTCTGCATGTATGGCGCCAAAAGTATTATGATTCAAATTCAGTTGATTGTTCTAATTTTGATTTAATTGAATAACGGTAGTAAGTTTGGAAAACAGGCAAAATTTAATGTCATGCTTGAGTTTGATTTTGTTTATTTATACATATACTTATATATTTATATGAATCAGTTATTGTGCATTCGATCCGCTCGCGAGCTGCAAAGAGTTACGAATTATAAACAACCAATATACGATATAATGCATAATTATCTTCGCACTGGTATTTTATTCTGCTTGGTAAAGACAGGTACTAAATATGCTTTGTCTTGTGCAGTAGAACTGCATATACAATTAAGTTGGTAATAATTAATGTTGTGACTCTCTGGCCGGAGCTATCAGGAAACCTATTTTCCAGATGATCTTTCAAAAGTACTTTGGTAGAATGTATACTTTTATCAAGGTGTAGTCGGGCGAGGGTTGTAAACAAGTAAGTGAAAATTGTATGTTGAAAATAACTGCGATCGTTGTTATATGTTATGTATTTGCTTTAACTATAAATTTTTAATTAGAAGTATATGTTTAATCTTACAGTAGAAGAACATTTTTAACATTAAATATAAAAGCATGAATGAATATATGTAGGATAGTAAATTATTCATGTAAATCATATTGGAAAAAATTAATCGTTTAAAATAACGGTCAGCTTTTTTGAACTGTTTGATGTTTACATACCTACTATATATGTATGTACTGGCTCTTGAAATTTTGTTATGGCAAAATTTCGCAGTACATGGAATTAGGATCACAATAACCACTAAGTGCATTTTCAATAAAGTCTTTGTAATGCATTACATTAATATAAACCGAAGCGTGTAATGTCTCATCGCAGTACGTTGAACCAACAGACAGTACTCCAATGATTGTGTTGTCGTAAACCAGAGGACTTCCACTGTCACCCTATGATAATTATGTGAAAATTTACAAATTCATATGTACTTATGTACTTAATTAAATTTAAAAAAAATCATGACAATACGTTATTACGTGAAATACGTACATAGCATGTACCATCTGGAAAACCCTTAGAATCTGTACCGGTTGTAAATAGTCGTGCACAAAATTGATCTTCCTTGATTTTTGATGAATAGAATTTGCATAATTTCTGGCTCAATACTTTTGCCTTGCTGTAATGCAAAGCCCGCGATGGACTTCCGCCGTGATTTAATTTGTTTTCGCTGTCAAAATAAGGTCTATGAGACAGATTATGAATCCCGAAAGACGCCAGGACCGCTGTTTTTTCAATGTAATCTTCCAAGTTGTCCCCATTTGATGACAATTTTAGTTTTTGGGTGTTGGGATTCTTTGAAAAATCAAAAGCTTCACTTATCTGGAAAGTATGATTTTTTTTAATTAATTCATTTTTTATATTGTATTTTTATCAAATTATTTGTTACTTGAGCCATCATTCATATTTTCAAGTACAGTTTGCTGCTGTAAATCAATAAAAATATACTAAACGTAGTTTTCAATATCAGGAAGGAAATTTGTTTTATTTACCTTCAGTACGACAATATCGGCTACATAAGGCAAACGACCGTTAAGAAAATATTCTTGTAAAAAATAAAATTTCTCGACATGGCATTTAACGTGAAATTCTGAATCCTTATCTTTGTCCATATCAGTGATTCCACCAATAATTGTTACTTTAGAGACTTCAAGGGTCTCCTTGTCGATAACACAATGAGCTGCCGATATGATAAATTTATCGCTTATTATACCACCACCACATATACCTCGATCGCTTGATATGGTAACTTGGTAGGGAAAATTCTTGACATCTCCATCGTAACCACCGATTATGTTCTCACTTTTTAAAGCTTTTACTAAAAATTCTGTAAAAATACGTTATTTCAGTACATAAATGTAAGTTATGTACCAACAACTAATGAATTCTTACCTTTTTTAAACAACAATAAAAATAAATAACTTGTAATGCACAGTAATGCTTTGGTAAAATTCATTTCGAGCTGTTCTGTATATTTCCAAACTACGTACTTTTAAGTGTTTTGACAATAGTCAATGAAAAATAATTATGAACCAACTATTGTACCACTTGACTGTTTATAGCATGACAAGAAACTTATCTTTGATATTCCTCTTTATATTATTGCTTCAACTAATAATTATGTACATAATTATTATGAAAAAATTTAACGAGTTCGTTACCTTAAGCTTGTCAGAATTAATTATGCGAGCCTTGATAAGATGATTGATACGAGATAAATTTACATGAATTGTCTCAACCCTATGTTCATATAATGCATGTATTTTCGTCACCGAAAAATCATGAGATGGATAAAAATCATAAATGAGGAAAAGATATATTTTTATGACTTTTACTTTTTCGACTTTTGTGAGGAGCCCCAAAAAAGAACTTTGATTATAAAGTTTGTACATTTTTTTTCCCATTGATCGATATATATATATAATATTATTACTTTTAGGCATCAAATTTAAATGTCGATAAAATAAGGGGTTTTTCACGGTAGTGATTGAAACAGCAGTTTCTTCACCTCCACACAGTGAGATTAACGTTTTATCTTTCGAAGTGACATGATGGTATATTGCTTTTACAGTGAAATGGCCATTTTTTTTCTTTTCATACTTAAAAATGGTATTTTTTGCCTTTTCCAAAGAGATAGCCCCTTCGTGTACTTATCCAATGATATATGTTGGACTTTTCAAATTCTTTTATATTAATACTAACGTCAAGATACGTATGGACGAATAGATAATTGGCCACTTTTTGTTGTTGCCAAATTGAATTCATTCTGTCACATTACAAGTAATAGACATGTATAACAAAAATCCATCTTATCTATTTAATGTTTTTCTTTATTTATTTTTTATTTTTTATTTTTCGTAACATCATTGTTATTTAAGTAAATGGTATGAAATGTAAATAAAGTGGCACTAATGTTATACTTAATCTTTATTGTGTGAACAGTATTAAAAAATGTTTTAATGGCATCTTGCAAATTCATTTATTCGAAAACACCAATTTTTATAATATTAATATGTTGAATATCTTATTTGCAATGAATACTACATAATCATTAAAAATTTTACGAGATATCAAAAAAAGTTCCTCTCTATTTGAGTTGTATAAATTTATTCGACTAATATTGATATCGTATTTTAAATGAAGCCTATGTTGTATAGATATTTGTTATCCGATTGGTCTCAGCTAACCAATCGGTTTTTTTAATGCAAATAAGGGTGAGAACACATGCTGCGGGAAATGCCATAAAATGCTAAACGATCCATCGTGGCTATTTTCATATTCCAGCAGTTTTTTGTTCCGCAAAATCTCAAGTACTACGAACGCATGGGCGAAAACAAGATCGTTATAGTCACTGTTGCACGCATGAATCGATGTCAATTGATCGAGTCTCTCTCTTTTTTGTACAAGTTTCAGCAGCTCTCATGTTTTACTTGCTATTTTGGTGCAAATTTTGAAAATTCTTCTTCAAGTAAAGTTTTTTGCATTAAAAACTTTAGATGATAGATAACTCTTAAAATGATAACCAAACGTTCATTTTTATCAATAATTTTATTAAAACTTGCTACCATCACATTTTTTTGCCATTTAGACCAAGCTCTCATATCAAAGTAAATTAGGAATAAGTTGTATTAAATAAGATTACTACTGAACTACAAGATTTATAAACTATGGTGAAATAATTTTATTATTAATAATTTTTAAACATATGTTTGATAATTTATTGGATACCAAAAACAATTTAAAGATAATATGAACGGTAAAAAAGTTGATTATTTTATTGTAATTAACCGCTTTGTTTTAAAACGGAATGATCGCAATGTAAAATGTAAGATTAGTAATAAATTTAAGCTAGTAAATCTTTTTTTGTCAATTTTTTAACTACTAATGCGACTTGTTCGTGTCGATCAAAAAAAATTTTTTTGTTCAACATGCAATATAAAACATGTATTACCTATAATTAACTTGGACCACATTTCCTGTCTTGCGATTATGCCCTGATTTTGCAATACATGAAATTGCTATCGCAATTACTGTTGAGCGCATTTTCAATAAATTTTGTATGATGCATTACATCAACATAAATTGAAGTATCCAATGACTCGTCGCAGTCCATTGGGCCCACGGACAAAACTCCTATGATTGTGTTATTATAGACGAGGGGACTTCCACTGTCACCCTACAAAATTTTAACACAATAAACAAAAAAATAAAGAAAAATCGTGTTTCAACAGCAATTATGTTGATTTAACAATATGTGTAAATAACATGCGGTACGTACATAACATGTTCCGAAAGGTGAATGTCCAGGTTCTGTCTCATTTTGTTGAATTTGTGCACAAAATTTATCGTGACTTACGTAACCTTCATAAAATTCGCACAATCTTTTACTTAAAATTTTGACATTGCTGTAATGCAACCTTCGCAATGCACTTCCATTGATTTGTAATTCATTTTCGTGGTCAAGGTAAGGTTTGCCGATAAGTTTTTGAACTCCAAAAGATGCTAGTACAGCTATTTTTCCAATATAATTTTTTAATCTATGCTCATTTGATGGCAACTCAAGGATTTGCGTATGAGGATTGTTTAAAAAGTCAAACGTTTCGTAAATCTAGAAAACATGATTCTAATTAAACTTGAACGATAAATATTTTTATGCTTGATAAAAAAATTAAGACAATACCTTTAGAACAGCAATATCGGCTTTGAAAGAATCGCTTGTATCCCTAATATATTTTTTTGGGTAATAATATTCCTGGACGTGGTATTCAACATAAAATTCTGAATCCTCATCTTCATCCAAATCTGTGACTCCACCGTAAACTGTCACTGAAGACACTTTCAGATTATTTTTATCGACCACACAATGAGCTGCCGATATGATGAATTGATCGCTTATTATGCCACCGGCACATTGACCTAGACTGCTGTACAAGGTCACTTGGTAAGGAAAGTTTTGAATGTCTCCATAAAAACCACCAATGATGTTTTCACTCTGTAAGGCTTCGACTGGAAAAAAAAAATTTTAAAACCCCATTGCCTTTGTAAGCACGTTACATAAGTGTCACTGTTTCGTGACAGGATAGAGGACTAGAAAAAAATAAAAATACACACAAGGATGGCACAGCATATGTAAAAAGTATTTTTCAGGACTCTGGCTATGAATCCAAAGCTTCACGTAATAGTTTATTGCCTTCATTTTAACAGTATATAATTTTTTTTTAATAATATTGTAGCATTGCCTGTAGTGGGCACGTATCTCCGATAAATTGGGATTGAAAGTTTATGCTGCGCCATTCTTCGCGTTGTGGCTATCAACAACATTAAAAGTTTTTTTGTCTCGTGTAATGATCGAATACTTACCTTTTCCAAATAATACTAGGTACTCAAATATAGAAATACATAGAGATATATCAATATAATTCATTTTTTGGACTTTACTGCGAACTTGTGCGTTTCAATTATTTAGTCTTTATGACTGCCGAAAAAGTGTCAATTACAGCTTTTTAGTAACGTGTTCGCACCACTAGACTGTTCAGTACATGTAGTTATAGGTTTAGTTTCCAAGCTTTTTATATCGTTGCGAGCACGATAAAAATCCGTAGGTTTGACTCGACAAGTTCTTATCTTTCTTTAAATAGAAACAGTTAGAAACGTCTATTGATGTGAAATTTACATTTCAAAATTTATAGACTAGCGAAATCTAGTTTCAATTGAATAATATTATTATTATCATTTTATACGTTTAAAAAAAGGCAAATCATTTATTTTTACAAAAAAGTTACAATTGGACAAAATTGTGTACCCACACAACCATTTACCGCAAGTGGTAGGTTTTTTTTTTTATTGTATAGTCTTAACACTCAGTTTCGCAAGTATTTTCCATACTCAACAGATTTCACACTATTTCTCGTTTGTACGTGCTAATCAAATAGACTTCAAGGTGTACGGTTACTTGAACAGTATAGGGTCAATGATAAATGTAACATAACACACATTTTTAAAATGTGACTTTAATCAATTCAATTTAATGTAAATTGATCCATTACCACAAATTAAAAAAAAAAAAAATTTATGTCGATGAAACACTTTACATGTGCTATGTACATGATATTGAATAAATGTAACACTCCTCAGATCTAAATAAATTAAAATGAAATGTTATGTCTTTACAACTTACACGTGTTTGTAGGCAAAATATTGTTAGCAAAAGATTATCATTTACGGATGAATTTAGCTGGCATCCAAAAGTTTAATTTTATCTGTTAAGAAAATACTGGAAACTCGATCGGAAATTTTGTACATACTGTACTTATTAACAGAGGGAATTTTTGTATGTTTTATTACTTTCCGAGAGTATCCAAACGCTGTTACATTTCACACACAAAATCATCACAACGAAATCCAAAGTAGCTAAATATTATAAAGTTTGGCGTATTAGTTTTATATTCGTATTTTAAGATTTAGATTTTGGACAGTAAAGTCGTTAAATGTATGAATAAATTTCATCAAAAGTTAGACTTTAGATTGAATGGAGATTTTGTGAAGGTGAGATCTAAAAAATTATATATTTTATGCTGCGATAGTAACAACAATAAATACTTATGAGATAGAATATTTAAAAAAATTGAAAATTAATTTCAATACTTGAGCTTTCAAGTAACAGCTGTTTGGATGTATAGGTGTACCTCAGGCGTCAAGTATTTGCCTAAACTGACAGTAAATGGAAAGCAATCAATAGTTTTCAAATTACGCAGGTTCATACTATGTCTACAGTCGCACGCGCGAGCACAGATACAATATTTATTAACAAACTTTACTAGCGAGAATTAAAAAAAATTTTAATTGACTATAATAGCTTTTAACCACTTGTTCTTTTTTGTATTTTCAATCCCCTTTCTCTAACCTCTCTTCTAATTTAATTATTTTCTCTCTACCACGTACAACATCTCAATTTTTATTTTTTCAGGCAAATTTTTTGTGTATTAAAGTACGACTCCAACGGCAATGCTGTCCAATGGTCTTTATTTATTTATTAAAGCAATAAAGACCATTGGACAGCATTGCCGTTGGAGTCATACTTTAATATTGCAATATCCTGCTGTCGTCAGATTCATAGTATTACAAAAAATTTTTTGTGTACTTACGTATTTTCTACACCTTTTTCATTGTTGTTACTGTCAAACTTTTGGAAGTGTTTTCTATATAATCTCGGGTAAATAGCCATTTTGAAAAATCTTCCGTTTACTTTTTTCCAACTGTTTCCATTTATCATATTATATCCAAAGCTATTGAAATATATAAGTAGTTGACTGAAACACTTGGTACAGCTGCACAAAGTTTTACCAGCAAAAATCGTTTTTGCTCAGTATTCACGAAAATTTTAAGTTGGTTACAATTAAAAGTAAAATAAAATAATCTTCCATTCACGAGAACGAATTTTTTGTCCATTTTGGTAAAAAGTCTATGTTTCCCTACAGCGTCATTAAAGTTAGTAGTTGATCGATTTTTGTAATTGTGGGTTGAAAACTTGATGCCGTAGCTAACAATTTCACAAATGCTAAATGCTACAATTTATTGTCATTTTCAAGAACATACATTCACTATAATTTAATATTTTTATTTCCAGATTTATCGTCTCCGAAGAGTACAACGACATGTCTTGCCTATGTGTTTCAGCAAATATTTACATAAGGCAGTATTTTGCTGTTGTACTAGATGTGTGTACACACATGCTGTCACGGATTCAATGTATTGCGACTCGAAAAAATTCTGTACTACTTATCATTTGTGATAAATTAAATTTTAATTTCTTTTATCGATTCAACCCGCTTACAATTTACCTTTGGTTAGTAAGTCTTTTTGTTTCTTCAAACCCAATAAATACGATAAAAAAAATTTTCTTATGATTAAAAAAATATAATATGATATTCCATAATAATTAATATAATTTGAAGATTTATTATTGAGCACTCACATCATAAATTACATTATTTAAGATTTTTTGTGGAGTCACTCGTGTACGTATTTAACATGCTTAAAAGGATAATTGTAAAATGAAATTGAAAATAAAAAGATACACATTTGTAATCAATTCCTTCGCACGTGCTCCATCATTTAAATAATAAAATTAATTTGTCGACCTCTCTCGATCGACGAAGCATTGTTTCGACGGAAAAATTGTTAGCAACAACCAGCACAATAGTATGGCCTCGATTTCAGTCAAGGACGCAAAAGAAAATCTCCTTGTGGGCACCAGATACGTATTATTATCGCGACCACGAGAAACGTACAAATTATCATTCCCAAACAATCTAATAGTGTATAGGTATACAATTCTTTGATCAAAATCGTTACACTACTTTCACAAACACGTTATATTTAGCTCAGGTTAGGCTTTCAGGTTATTTCATAATTAAGTATCAAAATTTATAGCGAAAATTAAAAAAAAAAAAAAAATTAATGTGCCGCTTTAATTTTATAGTGCAATTATTTGAAACAAAATTAAATAAACAAAAATAATTTTAGGTAGGGAAAATTCTTGACATCTCCATCGTAACCACCGATTATGTTCTCACTTTTTAAAGCTTTTACTAAAAATTCTGTAAAAATACGTTATTTCAGTACATAAATGTAAGTTATGTACCAACAACTAATGAATTCTTACCTTTTTTAAACAACAATAAAAATAAATAACTTGTAATGCACAGTAATGCTTTGGTAAAATTCATTTCGAGCTGTTCTGTATATTTCCAAACTACGTACTTTTAAGTGTTTTGACAATAGTCAATGAAAAATAATTATGAACCAACTATTGTACCACTTGACTGTTTATAGCATGACAAGAAACTTATCTTTGATATTCCTCTTTATATTATTGCTTCAACTAATAATTATGTACATAATTATTATGAAAAAATTTAACGAGTTCGTTACCTTAAGCTTGTCAGAATTAATTATGCGAGCCTTGATAAGATGATTGATACGAGATAAATTTACATGAATTGTCTCAACCCTATGTTCATATAATGCATGTATTTTCGTCACCGAAAAATCATGAGATGGATAAAAATCATAAATGAGGAAAAGATATATTTTTATGACTTTTACTTTTTCGACTTTTGTGAGGAGCCCCAAAAAAGAACTTTGATTATAAAGTTTGTACATTTTTTTTCCCATTGATCGATATATATATATAATATTATTACTTTTAGGCATCAAATTTAAATGTCGATAAAATAAGGGGTTTTTCACGGTAGTGATTGAAACAGCAGTTTCTTCACCTCCACACAGTGAGATTAACGTTTTATCTTTCGAAGTGACATGATGGTATATTGCTTTTACAGTGAAATGGCCATTTTTTTTCTTTTCATACTTAAAANAAAAAAAAAAAAAAAAAAAAAAAAAAAAAAAAAAAAAAAAAAAAAAAAAAAAAAAAGTAAAGCTACAACTTGAAAATAGTCGTTGATGTTAGTCGTAAATTTTAGGTATGTCCTCCTTCTCGTCGCAAAACAACAGCGAACGTGTTTTTTGCAGAAAAATGAAAAATTATTGTTACGGCTTGCATCGTTGATGTTATACCTATATGCCAAAGACAATGGTATAGTGAGACGAGCGATTGCAGGCTGCTAATGACTAACTGGAAGCGTCACGAGACGAAACGAGAATAATGGGTGTGCGGCGCACAATAAACAAAGAGTACTAACAATGAATTAGTAAGGAAGTGAAAGAAAAGTATAGGAAGAGGGTACATCCGAAGGCACTGAGTAAGGGTATACTTGATAACTTTATATACATGTAAGCTGTGAATTCACATCCACTACGCAGGCAAAATGACAATGTGGTTGTTGTCTAGTAGATAATAATATAATAACAGAACTTGCTTTTTCCTGTTTTTCATTTACCTCGTGTACAGGCTTTGCTTCAATTCTTCGGTTGTAAAATTGACCGCCGATTATCGAAAAATTTTCCGTTTTATTTAAGCCTAGATTTTACTCAAAGAGTCAACTCACTCTCCCACATACCCGTAAACATTTTTTATAAAATATGTAATAAGTACATACAATTAATGGGCTTTTCGAATTTCAATGCAGTATATAAAGGTATGCACTAGTACCCCCACCTGATAATAATTGAATTTTTGTTTCTACCATTTTTTAATTTATTTATTGTCTCGTCTTGATATAATATATACCATACACGTTGCATTGTTCTTTTCTTAAAATTCCTTAAAATAGACGAAATTTTACGCACAAAAAGTAAAAAAATCCTTTTTAATTGTAAAAGGCTGTGAATAATGATGAAGGGAGGTGTATCGTAATTAAAGTGTTGTATGTAATGAGGGATCATCCGAAGTTGACGTTTGTTCGACACCGACATTTTATATGTCTCGGGTTTTAAATGTAGAGCAGCTTTTCGTACCCAATAGTATCGAAAGATCAGGACGCATACAGACCCCTGCTGTAATGGCAAAGGAACCCGATCGCCCGATGTTACCTCGGATTCGAAGAAAAGAAAAAGATTTTTTCGCAAATTATGCATATATAGCGCGGATGCCGCGTTGCGGAGCATCCGGGGGCCCCCCTCGCGGCTCGACAGTGCAGGTCCCTGCAGTATAAGCCCGTGCGCGCGATTCTCGGACGAAGCCGATCCGAACCGAGCGCACACCGACGGTATACACCCACACGCGCACAAAAAGAGAGAGACTCTCGACGGCGAGCCAAAGGCGGCCCGAGGAAGCGATCGCCGAGCAGTCGAGACGCGGAGCGGCACCCGTATACAGTGTACCACCCACCGTGTGTCGCGATCGTGCGTGTACATCCGCGCTCTGGGACTTGAAAACTAAAAAAAAGAGGCGCTTTTGCGGTCGGGCATCGGGGCTTGAAGTGTACTTATCTCGATATCGCGTCCGGACCGGACGAAAAAAAAAAAAAAAAAAAAAAAAAAAAAAAAAAAAAAGGGGAAGCAACCGATCGGGGCCAGACGGCGGCGGAAAATCGGCTCTAGTGCCCCCCGTCAGATATCGTGCGAATTTCTCGTCCTTCGGCCCCAACGGCGTACACAAGTACAACCGGGAAAATCGAAAAAAAAGAAAAAAGAAAAAAAAATTAAGAGAACAGAGGGCAATACGAAAAGAGAAAAGCGCAGTCGAGTGCATATTATATACATACATACATAGGTGAGAGTGCACCAGCTGCACACAGACACACACACACAGACACGTATACCTGTATACACACGCAACATAAATAAGCACCTTATAGAGTGCCAGCCTGTATCCCCGAGTATTTGATTTTCTCTCGGATTTTCTCTTGGACGCCAAAGTGCTCGGACACACCTCGTACGTGTACTTATATGCACTTGCGCCTCCGCTGTTGTAAAAGCCCCCAACGAAATCCATAAACCGGTGTGACTCTCTCGATATACACACCGATCTCTACTCTCTCTCTCTCTCTCTCATCCCGATATACACATATATCTGTACACAACGCCTGGCAGAAAGAGACGCGGACTTGGGTACCCGGACTTTCTATCCCGAGAGCTATTTTACACTCACCTAGTGTACGCGGAGGACGCATTTTATCCCACATACATATATATAAATATATATACACTTGGGGCGCGAGTTTATCTGTGTGTGTGTGTGTGTGCGTGTATCCACATATCATCGGGTGCTCTGGCGAGAGACAGGAGAGCCAAGGGTCGCAGTGTATGTGCACCATCGACAGGGACCATCGGCCCCCACATCGAGCTCTTGGCGTCAGAGATCGGTAAGTCCGGATATCTCCGTATGTATAACTCTGGGTATCCAATCATTTTTTCTTTCTTCAAAATCTCCCGTCTCTCGTGCGCACAAAAATACATTGTGTACGCGAGGCTCTTTCTCTCTCGACCTGGCTCTGTATACGAGTACTTTCAAATACACGTACATTTTTGCTGCCGACTTACTGGCACACCGTTTAATGCATCAGGTAGGTAGAAAGTTAGCTCGTGGATCTATACAGTATACGCAAGCGGATCGCCAGCCAAGAGCCGTACGTAAACGTATACCTACATGTTGTATAGGTACGGTGTATATACGAGGCAGGTGTGTATGCCACGCGTATATATATGTAGATGTACGTATGAAGGAGCGTTTGGGCGAATACAGAGCGGCTGCGCTATTTCGATCGCCAAACCAAAACGAACGGGCGTTTCTATTTTGCGCGTCATCTCTACTGTGCGCGTTCTTTAGCAACGAAAACGCGACTCTGACGATGTCACGTATACGTAACATACCGATTTATCGGAGTTTTGGGTGTCTCACGTTACCGATCTTTCTACATGTGTATACAATGTTTGACAGAGGGGAGATAACGATCGGTACGTCAAAGCGATCGAGTTCTTTTGGTAGGCGTGGAGCGTCGAATCTTGGATGTTTACGTACCGATCGTCTCGTCAACATTACAACGTCGAAGGCTTAAATTTCGATAAATACATATTATACGTATACATGCACTTGGTGAATAAACAGTGATACCGGCGTGGTCGGTCAGTGTTTTCTAAACGGGCTTTAATATAAAAACCTTTCATCGTTGCAGATGGCCCGATGTGGAGGGAAAAAAAAGGAGACAAGCCGTGGGAGTTAAATAGAAGCGAGAAATCGTCAGCGCGCGTCAAATTATTCAAACGCTTCTCGGAATACCGACGCGAGAGAATGAAGTTTCGCGCTCGAAGACTGCATGTAATTACTTGCTTCTCCGACGAAGCGGAAAATTTTTTAAGGAAAAGCCATCGCGGCGTGTTTGGTGCCGGTGCCGATCTTTCGGTTACATTGCCGATTTTTGGGCACAAGCTTGTGCAAAACGTACGCGTATTATAACCGTGGACCATCACCTTCTGTGAGTTTGACCAACGCGATCGTTTGCAGTCTAGTGCGGCGAGTAACTCTTGTTTAGACGCAATAGACATCAATATAGTAAAAATACAGTCATTAAAACGGCAGACGCGAAAATCGGCGACTCGCGTGCGGTGTAGCGGTAAATCGGTATATATTTCCATCACCCCCGCGTGTCAAGGATAATTCAATGCACTCGAAGAAATAAAGGGAGAGAAAGGACGGAGAACAATCGATTCTAGTAGTGTACGGCACAATGTGGCATAAAAATAATAGTTTTCGTCGGATAAGTCCTGCTTCGCGGGTCCCTCGGGCCGCAAAATAACTCCGGAGCGATGGTGCTTATGTGGCGAATCTTATTTTTCCTACCGAGGGCACACCATCCTCTTAAAAACGCCCAAGGTATAGGAATAAAAAAGTTTTTCAAGAACTACATGCTCTTGGCTGATTTTACTCGCTAATTTACTTCACAAATGTCCTGATGTTATTTTCCAGTTATTTATTGACAAAATATCGTAACAGGGAAACTAAATTGAGTGGCAAATTTTTTTTTCATCAGCATCGATTTGTTAGAAAAAGATTTTTTGAAATGGAAAAATGCATTTGCATGAATAACTCAAGGTCGGCTTGGGAAATTTGTACGGTTACTCGTACGATTTATTTGCGAACAAAGTCGTGACTTTTAGCGCACGAAAAAGGGGGGAATGCCTTGTTGTGGCGAATTCGAATGTACCAACAACGACAAGACCTGTCAACAGTTTTGAGTTCTGGTTACTTTGGTGGTTCTTGACTCCCAGCAAATCATTCGAAAAAAACCTCGTTTTCAGTATCGACGGACCTATATAGAAACGTAGACGAGGTACCAAATGTTTTGCTTTTATTCTCTTTGACTTTAAAGTTTTTCTTTCAGTATACTTCTCTTCTTGCAAAATGTTGCAAAGTTATTTACATCCGTTGACGAATGACCACAGGCACAAGAGCTAAGCGCGGAGATATTTTTCATAGATATCAAATCAGCGCACCTTTAACTAAATTAAATTTTATGGTTGCAATTCGATGCACGTGTACCATCTCTTTCATCGCATTGAAAGATTAGTTAACAAACCATCAGATCACGGTACCACAATTAAAGTTTAATAATTACATATTTTCCATTTACGGGTATGAAAATCCAACAAACAATGCTAACAATTAATTTAACGGCGTACGATAAACTTTGTGCTTTTGCACATAATGATTCGGCTAATTATCTTCTATGAAGCTTTATCTGTTTATCGCGAGGAAAATTTCCGACGCTAGAAAATTTTCTCAATCATCGTCGAAATAATTGAGTGTATGCATGATGATTATAACCGACGGCGGCGGCGACGACGACGACGACAGCAAGTAATTAAATTACGTAATGAGTTGGATTTTTCCATAAACCAAATCTCCGTTGATTATGAGATCTATTGTTCCAATCGACTTATGTTACTCTTACATTGTGATGATACATACGACTATCAAAGCAAAGTAAAATAATATTACTATCGTTATAAAAGAAAAAAAAAGTCTAGCTCGAAAAATAATGCACTTTTGAAAATTTTAAACTGATGTTGCAACGACACTTGTTCGTAAAATTTTTAATGTAACATTTTTTTACACTTTTCCGTACATTACAGTACAATAATCATCCGTAATAAGTAAAAGTTAATAAAAAATAATAATAAAATAACGTGCTTTGGTAAAAAAAAAAAAAAAAAAAAAAAGAAAAAAAAAATACCAGAGTCATTGCATCCGTGCATAATTGTCAAAGATTCTCTGCTCGATGATTTATAAAAAGCGATTCCCTCGAGAAAAAAATCACCAGACTCTCCAGTCAATAAAATTAAACATTGAACAAGCGCCACACTGAAACACGACGCGGATACACCGACAGCGCTGATACTGGAGGCGAAAAATTTTCCCCATCGTATACGGCCGGACCAATGCGCGTCCATCATTATCGGCGCGCGATAACGAAAAAGGGAAAATAAAACAACAACAACAAAGAAAATATGAGAGAAAGGGAGGCGAGGAAGCGTCGGACTGGCGCCGGAATTCTCGTGGGGTTAGCGGCGCTTATCCGAGTTGGGAAAAAAAAAAAAAAAAAAAAAAAACGGCGCTCAATTTCCAGATGCCGCTCGTCGCATTGGCCGACCGATGCGTTCGCGCAAAAACCCACATCGCCCCGTTATTCTGTCGCAATGTGATCGTACGAGTCGTTCACTGATCTGTTGCGCCACTGAAGCACTCCGTATCGCTCATTTACGTGTGATGGGCGCGTTTATACGGATGATAAATTCTTGCGGACAACAATTATTCGATTGGCAAGGCTGACTTGATCTCGGTTCGCGTCGAATTTTCACCAATTTCGTGGATTCAAACTCTTTTCTTTCGATTTTTAATTCATTGCAAATGGAAAGAGATTTTTTTTTTTTTTTTTCTGGTAAATTTAATTGATATTTTGATGAGGTCAACGGAGCGTATACATTGTAGCTTTATAATACGTGAAGGGTCCCTAAATCATTTTAAATCTCAAAAATATTTCAACGACTCGATAAAGGTCGCACAGGTCACGTAATAATTTATGAAAAACTGTTCGTTTCGCCATTTTGTTTCATACATTCAAAAAACGTTGGGGCTCATTTTAATGTGATTTAAAAATTTCATAAGAAAACATTACGTGGAATTTTCGAGTCATTTTGCATAAGTAATCAATCCAAGCCCATACATTTTCTTTCATAGAGTTGTCTCAGTACACTTCGTAATTATTTAACAAGGACTTTCCTCATGATTTATTGGTACAAAAAGCACCTTGTTCTCTTGAACAATCAAGACATCATCCATCCAAATTTCCATCATAAAGAGTAAAAACAACAACAACAAAAAATGCACAATATTATTAAATGAGAAAAAGAACAAGCTGGGGAAAGAAAAAAATGATTGACGGACGCGCGTTTCCTATACCCATGTCGTATCATTACGGAATGAAAACTCGCGATTAGAAAACGATAACCGCTCGGAAGCAAAAAAGTTCTCCGTTCGAGATTGAAGGTATCTTTCGCGGCAAACGAGCATCCGGAATATACAAAACACCTCATAGGTACCAAGCACACAATACATCATCTCCGCTGATTGGGAATACCGAGAAAACCACCAAACGTCGAAATGAGCCACAACTATATGCTGTATCTTTGAGTATAGATCAACAGGATGGAACTTTCTCCGATAGAACAGCAGCGGATACACTTGGGCGCGTGTATATTATATATATATATGCTTGGCGTGAAATTTTATAGAAAGCGAAACAGGCCCACGAACTGACTGGCGTCTCAGCTCGACTAAATAACGGCACGGGAAGGGTACACGTACACACACACACACATGCATTCGTGTACGTGGCGCGAGACGGGCCCAAAGCGTGTTATCTCTCCAGGCTGGGGTCCCGCGAAAACGAGATAGCCGTTCCGAGATGGAAATTATCGAAGAATCTCGATACCCGGCTGCAGCAGTAGAAATCGGCTGGACGTGGAACGACCTTAATTACACCCAAGTTCGTTATACGGCTGGTGAAAAACTTTCATGGAGTAACATATGGGGTTGTGGTGGGCGGTTCTTCAGACTAATACCGATCAACGGTGATTTTCATCGCCTGCAAAAACAACCGACCGGGTGAAGTTGAACTTCAAGTCATCTTGATTCGAACTTTTTGTTAAAAAAATTCATTTGCGCGTACAAGGTTGACATTACCCTTGTGCAAATCAAAGGCTCGCGTGTATAGTATACAATAATTACATGGGCAGCCGTTTCGACATCCAGAAGTCAGGGGGTTCCGCGTCGAGAGAAAGTGCTGGATGTTTTCTCGTTGACCGC